AAAATACTTGACACTGAAAATGAACTTGTGGCTAGATGGGCTCTAGGGAAAAAACTACTACTAATCACCTACTAAACTACTATAGAAATGAAATAACCACTAATGACTTATTTCTCTGTCATAAATCATTGCATCACTCAACCCTCATCATAAAAGCTTCTCCTCACAACAGATGGAAATTAACACAGAAGCCCACAACTGGTAAACATGAGAAGGATGGTAGACTTTGGAGTTCTTCAGCCTTAAATGGGATGTCTGTCACATCTCTCCACTCAGATCTCAGGGGTTATGTAGAAGGAGGAACAGAAAGATTTTAAGAGCCAGAAATGGTAGATAAAACAGTGTTTTCCAGACAACACAGGGCAGATGCACATATGAACTCAGAGAGACTATAACAGCATGTATAAGACTTGTACAAGCTCAATACTGACAAAATACGAGCATGGAGAAGAGACAGGAAACATGGATTCCCATCTCAGCCAAGGAGCTTTTGGCAATTGATTTCTAGGTGAGGAAAAGTCAATTTTCTTCAGTGGAATGGCTATATCAACCACACTCCAGAACAGGCCCCATGGCCAGGAATAGTCACTGTATACAAACTGAATTGTGTGCTTTTGTAGGGAGACAGGAAGAAAGGAAGGAGGGGGGAAAAAAGACAAAGAGGAAAGGAGGGAAAGAAAGAGAAAATGAGGGAGGATGAAAGGAAGGAGAGAGTGCGAATGAACATGAGTGAAATGTGTAAGGAGATAGGGAGGACTTTGGAAAAACGGGAGGCAAATGAATATGATCAAAATATGTATGACATTCTTTAACAAAGTATTACTTTTTTTTAAATCTCAGGGGTAATCTCTATTCACAGAGCCACCCAGTGACAGACTGTGAAAATGTCTATGAAGAAAAGAAAAACTCTAGGAACTGGGATCCTTTGCAAATAACAATATGTAGAACATCTGTAGTAAACACAGGACAAAAATGCACATTTAAATTTGCTTTCTAAATGCATATTTATAATTTTGTTTTCTAAAAGGAAGCCCAGAAAGATAATACAGTGATAACAAAATGAATCTACCCATATAGAACATTACAACATTAAATTTTAGAATGTAAATTACATAATCATAAATATACCATATAAAACTATATCCAGACTAAATTTGATGTATAAATTAACAGGTGTGTGTATATAATGTCTGAACATAAATACAACCCACAAACTCGCAGGTTGAGGGCTTACTGTCTTACTCTGGGAGGTCCCAGAAACTTCAGGAGACAGCACAAAGCACTGGCAGGATGCTCTTGGGGATATATGCTGCCACAGCCCCTCCCTCTCTTCACCAGATTCTTGATGGCCCTGAGCCTGAGCAGCCTTCTTGACCACCCATTTGCAATATGATGAAACTCTGCTTTCAAGTCTAAAGTAAAGGTCAACAAAGACTGGGAGACAAAATAAATTTTTATGAAATTCTATACTTCAAAACTCTTTCAGGTATAAATCAAAGAAATGAAAAGTATGGCTGTTGGTTTAATGTTCTTTTGAAATGTATACACCTCACCCTTGTTCATTCAAATGCTGATTTCTCCCCCCCCTCCCACCCCTCTGGTTTCAATCCAGATAATGCACTGTGATACTTATTCTAAGCATCCTGTCTCAACTCTGTGTAAACAGGCCAAAATAAAGCAACTAGCCACAATGTTGAGCAATGGGAGGAGCCAGAGGACAGGAAAGAGGGGAGGAGACAGAGGGCAGGAAATGAGTGGGAGGAGAAAAGGCGAGGGAGAGCTAGGAGAGAGAACTGGAGGACAGATCTTGGAACTACGTGAATGGGCTGGACATAATATTTCACAAAAAGCAAGTATAATGGGCAAAATCTAAATGTTAGGAAACTATGAGGGCTTGGAAGTTTAGGAGGGAGTAACTATTGCCCAGCATTGTGTTCTAGGTTAACTAAATAAACCCAGTCTCTGTGTGGTGATTTGGTTATGCAGCTGTTTAGGATTAACAGCAGCTTTACTAAAAGATGATTATTAGTAAATATTAATCAACACTTACAAAATATGGCTGACATAGGCAAGCTTTTACACGTGTGTGTGTGTGTGCATATGAGTGTGTAGTATGCATATATATATATATATACACACAAGTATACAGTCTAAGTCAAGAGGAGAGTCACAGAGATAAATCTGACTTTATCCTTACCTTCATAAATGACCATAATGACATTCATTTGTAAGGCCATCGACAAATGACTTTATTATTCTCCTGTCTAATGCCATTTTAAAACAGTATCACCGGTACTAATGATAAAGCTATTGAATGAGGTTTAGAGCATCTTTGTGGATGTTGTGGCCAAATAAAGATGCAAATAGAATAAATGAAACTATCAATGGCATTAGGAATTAAGATGCTCAAGAGTCAAGGGAAGATTATAATTATCAAGTAGAATTACACACGAACCCTAACTTTAGTGGTTCAGAAAGAATAACATCCCAGAAGCATGAGAACGTGGAATGCAGAGGTTGGCTTTTACTGACATTCCTCCTGTAGGACCCAGAACTTGCTGAAGAAATGGCTGATTCCAACATGTGCTTGTTATACCTCTTCTGACAGAGGGTAAAAACTTTTAAAGACTTATACAGGTATGAAAAGGCATAGGTTAAAAAGCAGCCACTAAATGGTTATCAGAATTTTTACATCAAAAAGAAACACTGTCTGAAATTGAGTAAAAAACTCCAAATCTTAGAAATTTCATGAATCTGTGGTAAAATAAAAAAAAAAAAGTGAGTATTTATCTGTCTTTTCAGTGTATTACAACGTGAGCTGGTGACAAGTTTAGAGGAGACTGCCAGGCAATCTGGAAGGGAAGATGAAATCATGAAAGCTCATCATTTTGCAAGGGCCAGTAAAGTCAGTGACCAGGGTTACCAACTGTCTCCAAAACCAAGAGCTCAAGGGAGCTAAACTGCACAATCTTCTCAGCACTTCCTTTCTATCACCCAACCAGCTTTTCACCAAGAAGCTGGGCATGGTGGTACAGGTCTAAAACCCTAGCTCTTCTGAGGCTGAAAAACTAGCATCATGACTTCAACTTGGGCTACAGACAAAGACTATTCAAAATAAGAGCTGACACATAAAAGCTGAAAGGAGAACATTAAAATACAAGGAGAAAAACAAACCAAAATAGCAGATGGCTGAATTAAGGAGAAGAACCTATAAAGTGCATCTGCTTAGACTGGGACAAACCTTTTGACTCTAAACCAACCAGCACACAGGGAAGACTGTACTACCACTGTCACACCATAGGACCTGTCCTCAATAGTTTCTCAAATCTTCATGATAGCCTGTTTTCTAGGACATTTCTTGCAATGTCCTTCAGTAAAGGTTAATACCATTTTTCCCAAAAAATATTAGTTAAAGTATTCCTCCTGGGAACTAGAATGAGCCAGTCCTGAGGCTTATTCTAAAGAGTTTCTGGGTATCTAGCCTTTAAACTCACATTTCACCCATGAAAGTAGTGTCAGCAGTGTCACCTTCCTATGGGGGACTAATCTGGAACACAGATTTTCACAGTTTCAGTTCTAAAATTAAATTTGACAATGATCCCTCTGAAGAGATTAATTTTCTGTCTTTGAACAACAACAACAACAAAATGCTATTAGAAAAAAATCTTTCCATGTCATCTTACAAAAATAGCCACAGAACTGATTTTCTTATTCCAGTTAAGGTTAATATACATTAAACACATCCAAGTAAAAACATGCAGGTGCACACACAAACCCTTCTCAGATATACACACCTAGGTGCATTCTAGGTGCCTTCTTAATCATCACGATCCTGGACAAAGATAAGAGCACCCTAAGTTCCGGGAGGGAAACTGACGTCAAGGGACTGTTAACACTGCACCAGCTAAAGCTGGTCCAAGTTATATAACTAAGAAGCAATAGTGGATCTAGGCTGGAAAGTGAGCGATGTAACTCCAGACATGATAAAATTACAGTCCCACACTCTGCTTCTCAGTAACACATACTCTCCACCTGAACCACTGCTCCTGGTCCCATGTTTCTGCCACTTCTGACTTAAAAAAAAAAAAATTTGAGCCCATGGCTACTTGCCTCACTCACTGGACTTTCAATGGTGCAGAGTCCAGCCTCATCCAGGGTGGTTAGGACCTACCTTCCTACAGCAGCTTACAGATACAGAACACAGAGCTGCAAAGCTAAAGCCCAGGGGTAAGAATTGTTCTGGGATGCCTGAAGAGTCCACCCACACATATTAACAAGTTATGCAAATCCTCTCCTTCCTTCTTTTCAGCAACTACCATCAGTTAAAAAAGCAATCTCTTACTGTTGTTGAAGAAAATGAGTAATAACATGTATTATTAATGCTCTGGAGAGATCTTTGGTCAAAGCCCACTTTAGAGAAGTTTGTGTGGAGGAAGAAATCAACAAACTGTGTCATTAGCCAATTGCTTCCACATGAAACCTGTGCTACACGGAGAAGGGACAGTTGACGCTGTGTATCACTTTTCTCACCACTGTAACAAACTACATGACAAAAGCAGCCCGAGGATGGAAAGGAGGAAGGTTTTATTTGGCTCACAGTTTGATGGTACAGTGTATCACGGTGGTGAGGTTATAGACTTATGATCATAAGGCAGCTGTCTACATTACAGCTTCAAGCAGGGAGCAGAGAGTGATGAGTGGGTGGCATTCAGCTTGACTCCTTTTGTGTAGTCAGGGACTTCAGCCTATGGAATGCTTCTGTCCACATTTCAGGGGCGTCTTCCCACCTAACTCAACACAATCTAGGATAGCCCTCACACACAGGCCCAGAGGTATGCCTGCTGGATATTTCTAGACTCTGTCATGAGGTTTGTCTTAGATCATTACAGATACTGTCTAATGGACAATCAATATTAATCATCACAATGTGAAATTCCCATGAGCAACATCTGTGCCCCCAAAGTGTTCTTGGTACAGTTGAGACAGAAATGGAATTTCAGACTGCCCCTAGATGTGCTGCAAGTGTGGCTGCTGTGTCACATGTGCTTCAGTAGGTGGCAGAGAGGAGAGAGGCTGTGTCCACGCTCAGTGTTTTGACCTGTAAACACTTCAGTGTTTAGTAGTAGCCTATTATTTCCTGAAAGAAGTGAGCCAAAGACAACCACTACTCAGGTGCCTGGACAGCGAGCTATCCTGGAGGCTTGGAGGCACAGATGATGCCCAAGATGACCCCTGCCTGTACCAATCAGAGATGGGGAACCACTAAGAAGAACAAGTAAATGGTGGAGAAATGAAAGAGAATGAGAAACAGAAGATGTGGGTATAATGAAGAGAAGCAGAACTAGAGACTTGAAGGTAATGAGGAAGGAACAGCCTGATGAGAGCAGCCAGTGATGCCACCTGGGAGGATAGTGGAGTCCTGACCTGTGTTGCCACTAGGAGCCACATGAGTCTATGGCCCTGTAGCATCAGGAGTCTGTTACCACCAAATGCCAGGCGACGTCCCTGGTCTGGGCTGCCACCTGGGAAAATGTTGATGTCTGAGGGCTGTGCAGAATTAGCCCTACCCCTCACCTGGGCATCATGGAAGACCTGGCCCTGAGGGGCCTGAGATCAGGAAAGTTGTCCTTACACCTAGCCAACTACAGAGAGCTGCGCCACAATGAGTTGCAGGTGTGTCAGCACATGGACATGAGTGCTGGACCTACCACTTGTCTCTTATGTGGTGGTGTGGATGAAGGAGAGCTTCCTCTCCCTTCCCCACTCACCACCTTCGGCACTAGAGAGACCTGGCCCAAAGGTCATGAGAGCAGGAGAGCTGGCCTGGCCCCTCATCAGCTGCAGCACTTGGGAGAGTGAGCCCTCAAAATCACCTAAGCAGCAGAGTAGAACTGACTCTGGTGGTGGGAGCACAGGCAAACCACCCCCAAGCATGTAAGTAAGAGAGAGCTGCCCTGCCACTTGTCTGCCTTGCAGAGACATGGGCAAGGGAGAAATGCCCCCTTCTCACCCTTTGTCACCTATGGCAGGCAAGAGAGCTGGCTCTGAGGTCATCAGAGCAGGAGCACTATCCCTGCCCTTCACCTATAGCAGCATTCAGGAGATGAGCCCTTCACCTAGCCTGGGCAACAGGGTAGAGCTGGCCCTGTCTGAAAGGGCTGCATGTGAGCCAGCCCCGAGGGCAGACAGTAAGAGACTGGGTGGGCTGACCAGCTCAGATACCTCTCAGGCCCAGGTCCAGGCCTTTGAACTGGCCCACTCCAACACCTACCCCATCAACACACTGCTGGAGTTCATGAAGGGGCCAGTCATATAGGATCCAAAACTATAGGATCCCTTTGACAAAGGACAACAATAGGATATCCACAAGGGGTCCCAGTGAGGTGCCAGTATTGCTAGAGTCGCAGAAGCCAGACCAATGAGTCATTACAATGAACATTTCAAGGAAAGAAGTGTGGGGAAAAGGGTAAATTGTGGGACACATTGTGACAGACCACAATTTCCACAATAAGATCTTTTTCCTCCTCAGGTAGGAAATAGGTTGCAAGGGGGGAGGGTGGGTATGAAGGGAGGAGAGGAGGGAGATTGGAATGCATGATGTGAAATTCACATAGAACCAACAGAATTTTTTTTTTATTTCAATGATTCATGTTGATGAAATAAATCTAAAGCAGTGGTTATCATCCTTCCTAAGACTATGACCTCATATATGGTGACCCCAGCCATAAAATTATATTTATTGCTACTTTATAACTGTAATTTTCCTACTGTTATAAACTGTAATGTAAATACCTCTGTTTTCCAATGGAATCAGATAACCCCAATGGAATCAGTGTCATTCAAACTCCAAAGGGGTTGTGACCCACAGGCTGAGAACCACTGATCTACAGGCTCTCGTTTAATGTTAGCACCTCTGCTCCAGGCAATGTTACAAAGTATAAAGCAAGATGATTTAGCTCTTTCCTGATAAAGTCTCCACTTTCCACATATGTGTGGTTTATAATCCTGGTATCAGTGCCTGAAAGGTTATATTGAACACTGTCTAGCTCTTATCTCACGTACAGAATAAAGATCACTATGAAATAATACTGTGAATATCTTTGGTCGAATCCTAAAGCTCCTGCTCAGTGTGTTTAGAAATAATGACAGTAAGGCTACCCCAGCAAAGGAATTTCCCCTAAACATCCACAACGGCTTGCTATGGGGCAACACAATGGTCAAGAGCAGAGATGTGGCTTCACGGTGCTCGCACACTGGCCCGAAATCACAACAGACAAGACAGAAACAAAATCCTTTTGTTCTTTGGTGATAAAGAAGAGCTCACCTGCACTATGCAAGCAAAGCATGGCTAAAAAGACATCAGAATCGGTGCTATAAGAAATAAGATCACTTTCCTAGATTTTCAGAGATTTTTCTACTTTAATTGAGCAAGAAGTCCATTAGAGATTCTACTACAACCTTGATTAAAATGGTGTAGTTTTGCTGTGAGACACTTTATTGCCAAAATGCAGCTGCTGTGAGAGTAAGTCAAAGAAGTGCTAGTGGCTCAAGATGAGTATCAATTAAAGGAAAAGACACGTGCAGCATAAGCGAACACCCAGACAAGCAACTTCTTGCAAAACAATGCCTAACAACCAAGGAGATTCGAGTGACAACACATGCTGGAGAGGCTGTGGAGAAAGGGGAACCCTCCTCCATTGCTGTACAACCACTTTGGAAATCAACCTGGCGTTTTTTCAGACAATTAGGAATGGTGCTTCCTCAAGACCAGCTATACCACTTCTAGGCATATATCCAAAAGATGCTCAAGTTTACAACAAAGATATTTGCTCAACCATGTTCATAGCAGTTTTATTCATAATAGCCAGAATCTGGAAACAACCCAGATGTCCCTCAACTGAGGAATGGATGCAGAAATTGTGGTACATTTGCTCAATGGAATACTATTCAACAATTAAAAACAAGGAAATCATGAAATTCACAGGCAAATGGTAAAAGCTAGAAAAGATTATCCTGAGTGAGGTATCCCAGAAACAGAAAGACACACATGGTATATACTCATTTTTAAGTGGATACAAACATATAATATAGGATAATCATACTAAAATCTCTACACCTAAAGAAGCTAAGCAAAAAGGAGGACCCTGTGTAAGATGCTTAATCTTCATTCAGAAAGGCAAATGGGATGGACATAGGAAGAAGGTGAAAACAAGGAACAAGACAGGAATCTACCACAAAAGGCCTCTGAAAGACTGTACCCAGCAAGGTATTAAAGCAGATGCTGAGACTCATAGCCAAACTTTGGGCAGAATGCAGGGAATCTTATGAAAGAAGGGGGATATAGAAAGACGTGGAAGTGTCTTGTGGAGCTCCACAAGGAGGGCAACAGAACTAAAAAATCGGGGCACAGGGATCATTTCTGAGACTGATACTCCAACCAAGGGCCATTCATGGAAATAACCTAGAACCCCTGCACAGAAGCAGCCCATGGCAGCTCAGTCTCCAAGTGGGTTCCCTAATAAGGGGAACAGGGACTGTCTCTGACATGAACTCAGTGGCAGGATCTTTGATCACCTCCCCCTGATGGGGGAGCAGCCTTACCAGCAGGCCTCAGAGGAAGACAATGCAGCCAGTCCTGATGAGACCAATAGGCTAGGATCAAAGGAAAGATGAGGAAGACCTCCCCTATCAGTGGACTGAGAAAGGAGCATGGAAGGAGATGAGGAAGAGAGGGAGAGAAGGAGAGTGGGATTGGGAAGATATGAAGGAGAGGCTACAGCTAGGATACAATGTGAATAAATTGTAATTAACAAATTATTATATTTTAAAAAAGTAAAAAGGAAAAACTGGCTGGAAGTGGTAAGGTGGCACACCCTTTAATCCTAGCCCTCGGGCAGGAGAGTACACATCTCTATGAATTAAAGGCTATTCTAGGCTATATGGCAAGGTAGGTCCAGGACAGTCACAGCTCTGTAGAGAGACACTATCTCAAAATAAATAAACAGACAGACAATAAATAGATGAATGGATGAATGAGGGAATGAATGAATGAATAAATAAATGCTAAATTATGAAAATTTTCACTTTTTCAAAACTCGTGTTTTCATCTCCTAGGCAAATGCTTGCTCAAGTGTGGGCATGAACATAAAGGCAATTATGAAGAAATCAAAATCTAATTTAAAAGTCTAAAGAGAAAGCTTCTGCAGCCCGTATCTGAATGGCATTTCTGATATCAACTTTTGATTAATCGTCTGCTGATCATGTGTAGCATAAGCTGCTCCTTTTTTTCTGGAAAAACTTGGTATTCATGAATAAATGTGGTTTAATATTCTAAAAATAGTGTGAAATTTTTTAAAACATGAGGCTAACAAAATGCCAAATTCTAGCCAAGATTAAATTGTAAAAGTGGTTTAAGATACCTTGACTAAAAGCCAAAGGGAAGGAAGGAAGTTTGTGTGTAGATACCCACCCATGTGCACATACATGAATACACTCACCAGCCTCCCTGCTAGCCACTCTGAATGAAAGCCAAAAACACTAATGAGATGATTTTACAAACTGCTTTCAACTCTTGGAAGGAAGATGCTATATAAATGGAAGGTATTAGTTTTCTTATTCTAAAAGGTAATTTTATTCACTCCAGGATCAAACATAATACAACTAATATCCAGTCTGCTTGCTTTCAACAATGAAAATTAATCAATTTAGAAGTCTTCCCAGAACTTTCATTGAGAAGACACCAATTCCCTATTCACCAACCCTAATGCTGATATGATTATTTATTTTTTAAACAAGTGCCTGGAGTCTTGATTTCTTGCCAAACTAATTTAATATAAATTTAATTACACCTATACTGATTTATCTGGCTTTTGAGACTTACACCCTTAACTATCAAGACACTTACCCACAAACGTTTACTTATATCAAGAAGCATGAAATCCAGTCCTTGATTTCAAAAGCTTGTAACTACAGGGATACAACACATGCATAAAACTGAACAACTCTACCCTGATGTCACATCCAGTCAATCTTGTGCCTGGGGAATGGTGGTGAGGGATTCCTACAAAATAACTTTTCCCAAGCCCTGGGCCTTCATAAATTCCCAAACTGTATTGTAAAATGTAATTTTATTCAA